CTGGAGTCCCGGAAAGTTGCATTGTTACCGACTTAATAAAAAGAATAATCAAGCAACTTTTATCGCACACATCACAGTGACTAATGAAAATGAAATGAAATTCGCTTCCAACAAGAAACCTGTAAATTCCCGTAATGCCTTCGGAATATAGACACGTACCAGCAACATAGCATGAATACTTTATAAGTAGCGAAAGTACTTTTTAGAACTTGGAGGGACGCAACAAATTTCAATTTCACGAAGAAACAAGCCGACGAAAACATACTTCAACGCGAACCATTGAATTACGACACTATGCATATTTTAGCTCGTAAAATTACAATTTTATTGAGCCACCTTCTGTCAATACCAATGGGATAAAAATTTAACAAGCTATTATCGATTTTACGACCTTGGAGCAAATTCATGCAAGTTATTGGGCGCGAGATGAGTTAATTATGGCTCTAAGTAACAGCCGCCAGTGGTATAAAGTGAGAGTCAGGATCAATACTACGCGTCCTGGAGGACTTTCACTATCCTGAGGGAGTCGTAAAGGCAGCGCTTATAAGGAGTCACACTGTGTCTCCGCGCGAATTATTATCCCGCAACCATCAAAACGCAACTTTACTAACTAAGGTTTTAGTGCCCCACGTAACGTAGACACTCTAATGGACATTATTTTGCCTAACTGGTGTCTTACAAGGGAACATGCTGGAATGGTATTCTCTTACATTTGAATACTGTTACAAAATGGCAACTTTCGGAACACAAAAATCATTTATCATTTTCCATACCCTTTTAAAACAAATCATTTTTCGAAATATATGCTGGTGAATATCATTGATACATTTACAATATTCCTAACAAAAAAATATGCATCACTGCATAAACTTTACCTTTAAAAACTCAGTGGACTTTAATTAAAATATTAAAAAAAATTATTAAAATTAAAATAAACTTGTATCTCTATATTAAGTACAAAGCGCCAATGGTTTCCCCCAATTTGTATTCTCCAGGAATCGTGTTTTAGCGCTGATTTCAACATTTGTTTTAAAATTAAGTAACGCATAACATGCAGCAACTTTGCCAAACATTACCAACGTACAGCAATTTGAATAGTCTTGTGCCACGTTACACATTTCAGAGTCTCGTTCACATGTGCACCAAACTTTCAACATTAAGACCTCCTCTTGAAGCGTCTTCTTAAATTTAATTACTAAACAATAGATTTGAAATTGTAGTACATTTTAAATTTGAACCCACGAACGTAGGTAGTGTTTAGAAACCGTGTAAAAAGTGAGTAATGCTAAGAAAAATTATCATAACACAATTTTCTTTCTCGCGTCGTCGGGAAATGTTCAGCCAAAGCAGGAAATAATATTCGCAGAAAGTGCCCTCGTAAAATATACGTCAGTATCTACTCTCTCTATTTGATACATTTGGTAAGATTGGTTCAATTCAACCAAATGTGTAAAAGTCTGGGTGAGAAATTTCAAGGTATATTTTCTGATTGCTGTTATAACACAGAATATTCGCTTTATGTTGTACCATAAACGGTGCTTTAAATTGGCGCCAGACATTTGATTTTCATTACGGAAACCATATTCAATATGAATGAAACCCAGAGCTGTATTATTTTCTCGTAACGTTCAAAATATTTTATATACGTAAACTTAAAAAATCGTACTAAAGAAAAACTAAAACTTAAATTAAATTTAACGTTATTTTTTTTTACTTCATAAATCTTAAATTTACTAATATTGCTAATATTAATTTTTAAAATAATTAATTTTAGAAACATTGAGTATCATATGTTAATTAGTATATTTTTGTTCTAGAAAACAATGTATGCACCTGGTTTATAAATTTTGACTTAATATAACAATTCATTTTTACCAAATGCACAGCGCCACAAAAAAAAAACTCAAACATCTATTAAAATTTGATTATACACAAATATTTAATGCAATTTTGTATTTAATTTCACGTGCTTTAATAGCAAAGTTCCAATAAACCGACCGCAACAATTCGCAAATTTCTTTAAATTAAATCCTATCTCTATTATCACAACCGTTTCCCGGTTGCTATTCCTGCAATATCCAGTGCACACTACATCAAAATTAAATCCTACTTATCGGCTAGCTCCTGCAATATTTTGACATTTAGAGCCACCGCACCATAAAGGCGGATTTAGAAATGTGCGTCATTTAATCTCCGATTATGTTTACCGCTAGCAGCGTCTTTGTTCCGTAGGTGCAAAGTAAACAAGAAGTGTGTTTGGAGTGGACATTTCGCGCCATCTGCTCACCCTCATACCTACCTATGCAAATTTTCAGAGGATTATTGCAGGAAGGGATGGATCACTAATACTTAAAGGCGAATGAGATTCCGGAACTTTTGACAAAAATTCAACGGATCCCAACTCGTTTATGTAAACCTCACAAAAAAGCAAGATTTGTCAATTCTAAGGTATTGGGAAGGATCTTAATTTATATCTCACTGGAGCAATGTTGTCCTACAACTGCCAGGAGATACAAAAGATTATGTCAAGGTGATGAGTTTGTGATTCAAGGTGAATGCTTACGATACAATCTATAAAATCAAGTTTTATGTCGGTCAAGCTAATGCAAAAAAAGAGACTTGTCTGTAAAGTCACCGCAATGAATCATACAAGTATTACGTGAAGTAATTAAACGAGGACAAAGTAGGAAAAAATTATTCTATTATGGAAACTAAGTTATAGGTCAAAATCAAACAAAAAGACTTAAGAGAAGTTGACAAAATTTAAAATGTATTTCAAGTTAACAAATACAAATTCTACCAAAGAAATACAGTTATTTCTTTGGTAGAATTAAAAATTAATTTATAAAAGTTTGTCTATCCAGCGTTGAAAATACAAAAACACAAAAATTTGCATTTGCAGTTTCTAGCTAGTTGTCCTGACGACTAGTGATAAATGACTAAAGTCGCTGAAACAAATGTTTTTTCCGAGATTATTTCATGTTTGTATACAAACAAGTTTGAGATTTTCATCTGTAAACCATTAAATACAATATAACTGAAGTAATTAGTTCAAATAAATAAAGAATCGACTTCTAAAAGAAACTCACATAACAAAGTTTACAAATTTATATAATTTTAATTATCCAAGGATAAATAATAGAGTGGTTTTGTAAAAAAAGAAAAAATATACCCCCACAAACAAATATGTATATAGGGTGCGTCAGAACTCGCGCCCCAGAGAAAATTTTCAAGTAAGGTAAGATACCAGGAACATGAAAAAAATGTTTAGAAAATTCTATCTGTCAAAATATTTTGACATTTATTTTTTGACATTTGACATTTTTTTATATCTACTTAAGAATACTGATGATCTTGTATATGTTTTTTTACAATTATTTACTAAAGGGACAAAAATTTTGCCAATAAAAGCCACAAATAACATTGAACAGAGTTACAATTTAGGATACAACTTCCTTGTTWCCTCTTTCAATAGCCTATAGCAAAAAAACTTGGAAAATTATTTTTTCAACAGAAATAAATAGAGTCAAAGTGCAAACTTGAAACCCTCATAACTTCGAAATTTTTATAGATAAAATTTTTTAAACATTTTTTCCATGTTCCTGGTATCTTACCTTATATGGCATTTTTCTCTGGGGCGCGAGTTCTGGCGCACCCTGTATACAAAAGCATATCAATTATAAATGAATTCTTTTGCTTTTTACATGTTAAAACAACTAATACCTACAATGATTCGCATTTAGAAAACTTTTCTGTAATAAAGGAATTCAATATTTCACTAAATGCACACTGTGATAGATTAAGTCTATGTTTTTATCAATGAACGAAAAGCAACATAACTATAAAATTAAATTAAATTTTTTAAAAAGATATCTTACTTTTTTAATAAAATGTAGTGAGCCCGTACATTATTTATTTTTACAACAGCTTGCCATAATATTTAAAACTTGGTTTTTGCTTGTCGAAACATAACTTTCAAGAAGTTTTATTAAGTTAGAATGTTCACAGATGCGCCTAAGAGTATCTTTAAAATTCAGCTATTAGCGGTTGGCATTCTTGAAATGTACTTCACTAACACAAAATATATCATTTGTATTTAAAGAACATATCCGTAAAAGTGTATTCAAAATTTCGAACTGCCAGTGTGATCTCATACAATTTTTATTCAGTTGGTGTACGAAAAATTTTGGTATTCAAATTTCATTATATATTTCTCAGATCCGATACATGAATAGACTCATCAGACGATAAAATAATCGTTACTTTCTTGCAGTGTAGAATAAATACAAAAAACTAAAAATATACTTTCCACTTATAAAAATAATTTTAACACTAAAAAAGGTTGTAACATTATATTTAAAACGTAACTACGTATAGTAAAAGTACTACAGTAACTTGCAGGTATACTTTTATAAAAAATCAGATATAGATTTTTGTCAAAATTTCCAGATCAACAATCATGTAGCTCGATTTGTAAACTGTAACGAAACAAAGATTAGAAAATTCGATTTCGCGTTGGTGTGAAACAAGTTTTTGCAATAGCTTCCTAGAACTTAAATTCGGTCAAGAGTTTAATCTAGAATTACCAAAAAAGCAAGCTCTTTAAACCCCATCAAGCTCTCTAAATAAAGTGCACTTTGAATTGTTTTTAACTAATGACTTTTGAATAAACTCGTATGTACGAAATTGGCCACACACTATAATGATCACTCTTTATCAACTTTCCTTTGGTTTTAATCATCCAGTGTATAAAATACACAAAATGTCCCAAAAATAAGTTGTATAGAATATGCTAAAGTTTTAATAATAAGCTGCTTTTATAATAGCATTATTATGATTATAAATGTCACACCGAACTTATATTTACGATAACATTTTTTTAAATTAATTCTGGAATTATTTACGAATTTGTGCGTATGTGTAGGTATATCAATGTATCGGCAATAAATAATAACACGCTTTTAAATCACATCGATTTTAGAAAATATTAAAAAACCTACTCTGCATTTCCATGACTCGTTCCCCTCCTTAACGCCATGCCAGCTCGTGCCATTCCACCTGAAACAAATTTAATGGATTAAAATTTCACGGGCTTAAAAAATATTTCCTAAAATTAAATTCTCGTAATGACTCATCAAAAAATACAGAATTTTAATTACTGGCTAAATAAGTACAACCTCATAATACCCTGAAGACTTTAATTAAATTTAATCGAATTACAAAATGAATTCAATTATTTTCCTCATGCGGTGGGTGTCTTCATAAATTTCGATGCACTTTTACATTCTACCGTATAAAACTGATTCATTATTTTAATTAAAACCATATTTTTGGAAACTTAAGAGGTAAATATGCATCAATATCAGTAAATTTCGTGAAAAATGTAAGCACTCTCATTTCACTTGAACCAAAGTAATATATTATTTAGCTAATGCTATTTCTTAAACCAAAATCATATTGTCTGGAAAGTTTTGTGCAAATTGAAATCGGAGTATATATTCCGAGATTATTACGTTAAAGTGACCAAACGAAATTTGTGAAGCGATAAAACGTTCAATATAGCTTTTCAGAGTAAAATAAATAATTTTACATTGATTTAAATAAAAAGTTGAGGTAACTTTGAAGGAGATTTATGTTACTATAAAACTGCTATTGATACTCGTAAAATAGCTTAAAATTTAAGGAATTCTTACCGGAAGTTTTTCATCTTACGTTTAGTAATATACGAGGCTCTTAATGCTCCTTTGTACCTTTTATGAGGGCAGGCTTTTTATATTTTTAGGGCTTTTACTACGACCGGCAATTTATTACAAAAATATATACTTAAACCTTCTGAGAAGATCCGTGCAAGGAAAACAAACATCTAATGATGATAATAATTTGTCATAAAATGAAGACATTTTATAAAACGTAAAGGAATTTATAGCCATTAATATAATTTAATTATAACGAAATAGCAAGCAGTTAGTTTCAGTGGGACTACTCGTACGTAAAAAATCTCCTAAAAATACACTTTTACAACAATTTCTAAAATGTAACTAAAAGTGGCTATAAAAAACAACTAAATGTAAGTAGGTTTACGAGTAGGTAGTACACGCAGAAGTACGAATTATGCACAATGTTTGTTTAATTAACTATTTCGATGTTAAATAAACATAGTTCATAATTTTTTTATTAAATACCTATTATGAAAACCAAAAAGTAAGTAAAATTCCAAAACATCAAACATTTTATTAAGCTGTAACACGTGTTTCGTCAACCATGTGACATCATCAAAACGGCAATAAACAAATTGCTTAACTGATAAACAATCCGCTAATTAAACAGAAAATGTTAAAATATGTTTTGAAGATTATTTGATGACAAAATTTTTAGACCACACCATATGTAAATCATTTACTTGTGAAGCACTAGACACTTTTATTAATTGTAATGATTAATGATTTAAACTTCAACTGTGTGATTTTCTATAACAGGATGTTTGCAGTGTATCTTATTTTAGATTTATTTGTTTAATTAGAAAAGTATCTGCTAATTGAGAAATTCTCCTAGTTCTTAAGACCTGTGAAGATTCGAGTTTAACGTAAAATTAATATGCTGACTATTAAATTCTCAGTGTTTAAACGGTAGCTCCTAGTAATTTCCTCTAACAAATTGTTGGAATTAATTGGATGCTCAAAATCAAATTTGCATCCGAGCACAAAATAAATAAGTTCAACTACACTCTGTTGCAATAATGTAAACGTAGTAAAATATTCAAACTGCGCAGCTATTTTCAGAACGATGGGAATAAAAGAGCAAAGTTTTCGTTAACTTTAACGTAATAACAGTTTCCAATGCTCAGATAGTTAGAGACAGCGAAAGAAGAGGAGATTCAGATCGAAATGAAGAATTCAATTTAGCCAAAGCTGAGGAATAATTTAGGACTTATATCTGATAAATCCTTTGCTTGTCATTATCTGATATCTGCGAGCTTATGAATTATAATTATTTCAGAAAGCGATTTTGGCTGCTGAAATATTAAAACAATATACCAGTTTCAGATGTTGCTTTGTTGTTATCTAAAGAAGCTTTCAGACTTGATGCACACTAAAAGTTACGATCTGGGATCAAGTTGAACTTTCCCTCAATGGCCCCAACACTAATCATTATAGACATCTCTATTTATCTATCCTAGAATTAGTCGAGATGGCTATCGGTGTAATTACAGGAGGGAAAAACACATGTAATAAAACATAACAGATAAAGACGAATTGGCCACAAACTTACTCAAACGTAAATAATAAGAAGATAAATTAATCCTGACAAGTCAAAAAATCCTGAAATGGAACTTTTCCAAGTGTGCTCTAAACAGCGCTAATAAACAACGTCGCTTTGAGCGAAAATTGACTTGAAGAAAAATTATTCGCTTTCGCGCTATCGAGTTTTTCCCATAGAACGATAATCAAATATTCGAATAACAATGAACTTTTATTGCCACTTACAAACAGCCTGGATTGAGCCATTTAATCCAAGAAAATAAATAGAAACCAGACGGTTCGCATACGAATTAACACATCGTTTAGATAACAGCAATTTGAAAGATTTATGCAAACACTAATAAATAAAAGTAATTTATTTCTAAAAAAATCCCGTTGAAAAAAAATTGAAAAATATAGAACAATTTCATTACAATAATTTGTTTACTTTTTAAAGTCACCTTGTTTCCGCAGTTTTCAACTTCAAAATCCCGTTATAGATTATTTTTTAATCTTTTTACTTAACAGATTTTAAAGTTTCAGTTAGATAATTGTTTTCTCTTTTGTTGAAATTGCATGTGACAAAGCGACAGGGAACTTCTCGAGTTTCTTTAAAGTACTTGCATTTGTCTCAGATATAAAACTAGATTTTCGTATCTACTGAAACAATAAGGAAAAAAATTAATTAAATCTCTCGTTCGTCAATTAAAACACCATGCTAACAAATTTTTCTCTCTATTTACTCGTTTAAAAGCAAATAAAAAATCAGTGATGCATAATTAATTGCTAGAATGTCAGTAGAACCTCGACTCTAGACACAAATAAGCAGACATTTCAATTAAATTTCAAGTATGCTTCGCAAGAAAATAGTTTCGCGTTCGTCCTATAATAATTGTTCTAGCTTGAATACGATAGATTTGAAAGTTTACTTAGCACATTATTGTGGAACACAATAAGCCAATCTACGATTTATTCAGATTAAAAATTAAAATAGTTTTAATTAGTGTAATAACCATAAAAAATTAATATAGCACCGAAAAAAAACATCTGAAAGTTCTTTAAAAGGTAAAAAAATGATTTTTACTGTTTTCTGGAATAAGATTCAGAAAGAAAAAAAATTCAGTTTTTTTTTTCTTTTTTTATATTGTTTGTATAGGATCTATTTAAATTTTTAACGAAAACACAATGTGCCAATCGTTCCATTTTGACTTAATTGTTTGATAGATATTCGTTTTTTGTCTCTAGCAAAAAAAAAATTTGCTCGCATCCGCGCTCGAATGCAATTAGTGCAACCTAATAAAGAGGCAATTGGGCATTGGAACCCTTCATCCGTACAAACACGACGATAGATACATATCCGTATCGCTCTGAAGCCAACCTGGTGTATAATATACAATTTCATTTCACTTAGGAAAGCATCAACCTGTTAAATGTAGCGTGGGAGCCCACGGCGCCAAGCGCAATTACAAACCTAGAATGAAGGACAGACAACTCTTTCCAAAGATCTCGAGAAATGCAAATGGCGGAATTACCACCTAATAGAATCCTCTTCCGCCTGTATCGGAAAAGATTTTTTCCAATTTATTTTAATAATTCAAAGCGGATGCGAGAAAATTAAGTTCTCCATAAAATATCGCTCCATCATTGACGTGCTTTTATGAATTATAACACCGGCTTTGCTTGAACACACTTTCCAATAAACACAGACGGGTAAAGTAGTTATAAATCAAGAAAATTGGGCGAAATTCTCTTTCCTGTGGCGTGCCCCAGGGCGGAAGTCGCAACGAGACGTTTCTCCATCTCGCGACCCACAGGAGCGTATTAAAATGTTTTTACATTTACATACATTGCCTGACTTGTTGATTTTCGAAGGTTTTGCAAATATCAAGACGCCTAAATCTTGAAGAATATAATCGGTGATGCGTTTGTAACGACGGACTTAAAGGACTTTTTCATTCCCCCACAACGCAAATTATCCTACAAACATCAAACCGAAATCCGGATTTCAGACGCACCGAATTAATCAAAGTGTGCAGTCATCATTTTTCGGCGAGATGAATTTCAATAGAGGTATGCGAATATTTGCTGAATACTTCAAATGTATACTCTAAATTCCACGACATCAACTGTAGTCAAGCCACCTCAGCGCATTTTTCATCAAGAACGAGACGAGCATTCAATGGTAAAAAATGGTGGAGGCGCCGGGTACTCGACCGACTGTAGCAACTGATATTAAACACAGAAAATAAACCTGATGCCTACATTGTCTATATATGCCCGAAACATGTAAATAAAAATTTGATCAACTCTCTTTTCCTTTTACTGTAACCAATCTTAGAAGTAAATAATTGCATTTCAGAAAAAGGTAATAAGAACACTCCACAAGCCAAGATATATTAAAACCCTAACTTAAAAAAATGCAGATTCATCTTTCATAAATAAAAAATCGATTTTAACATTTGTTTTCTAGTGTGTGGTATGTAATAATACATATAGTATTATAAGATAGTAGCGTTTCGCTATTTTATAAAAAAAAGTATGGTGCATAATTAACCATAATTTTTTTGTACAAATTTTTTTAATTACTTACTTAAGTCACGTCTGCAGTTATAGGAGTATTTGTTTACGTACATGGGATATTATGTCTACAAAGATGGTTTTTTTTTCTATGTTTGAAGATATCAGTTTACAAAAATTAAAATGTTTTATTTATTTTTTCAGTAAAACGACTTTAAGTGGAAGAAATCCAATGTAGATGTATCAAATAATTTATAATTAATGTTGAATAGGCTCTTCCATTATGATCAATCCATTTGTAAG